ATTTTGAGAGAGACAGAGAGAGCACAAGTGGGGAAGGGGCAGACAGCAAAGGAGAGAGAATCCCAAGCAGGTTCTGAGCAGCCAGTCCACAGAGCCCGATGTGGAGCTCTCACTCATGAAACCCTGAGATTATGACCTGAGCCAAAATCAAGAGTCGGATGCCTCATTGACTGAGCCACCCAGATGTCTCTAGAACCTGCCTTTTTTTTTTTTTTTAATGTTTACTTTTGAGAGAGAGAGAGAGAGCGTGCGCATGGGTGCGCGAGCACAGGAGACACAGGATCTGAAGCAGGCTCCAGGCTCTGAGCTGCCAGCACAGAGCCCGACATGGGGCTCGAACTCAGGAACGGTGAGATCATGACCTGAGCCTAAGTCAGACAATTAACCAACTGAGCTACCCAGGTGCCCCACAAACCTGCTTTTTTTAATTAAAAAAAATTTTTAATGTAGAGAGAAAACCTTAGAAATTTAAATATTTTGCAGCCTAAACTTCAAGTAGAAAACTATTTGTGCTCTTCGGGGTTTTAAAGGTAAGCTTTAAAGGGGATTATATATTAAACATTGAAGGACAAAAGAAGTCTTAGGTCTTTGTCAGAAATTAACCAATCAGGATGGCCCTGAATTATATAGAATACATAAGAATAGTAACCAAAGTGACACTCCTTTCCACCTGTTACTTACTTACTTCCACCTGTTACCCAAATTTCTTTTGATTTCCCCCTTCACTTAGAAAATACTCCTAAATGTGAAGATAGAAGGGAAAGAGGTAGAGTAGAAGTTACAGCCTATTCCATTAATTTTGTGATTATATTTTTTTCCCTCAATGTTTTTAAGTGGCATTTACCAGTATGGGTAAGATTAATTGTTATAATACAAGCCAATTTTCAAATTGGTTTTTAAATTGAGCTATAATGTATAAAATCTTAGATAATGCTCAGATCTGACTATATGCAAGTGCAGTTTTCATACCCATACCAATTGTCTTGTAATAATGGAAAATGCATCCTCTGCGTGGTGTTTGTAAGTTAATGCTGTTTTAGAAATCATCCCAGTATATCTAGTGGCTTTTCTAGGTGTCTTTGTTTCATTATTGATTATAATTTTATTTTGAAATTTTAGTTTAAAGGGATGGGGTAAGGGGTGCCTGGGTGGCGCAGTCGGTTAAGCGTCCGACTTCAGCCAGGTCACGATCTCACGGTCCATGAGTTCGAGCCCCGTGTCGGGCTCTGGGCTGATGGCTCAGAGTTTGGAGCCTGTTTCCGATTCTGTGTCTCCCTCTCTCTCTGCCCCTCCCCCGTTCATGCTCTGTCTCTCTCTGTCCCAAAAATAAATAAAAAACGTTGAAAAAAAAATAAAAAAAAAAAAATAAAGGGATGGGGTAAGTCCTTTCAAATTCTTAGTTAGGAGTTTCGATGGAGGATAGGGATGAATGAATAAGGAAGAGTGTTAGAATGAGTAATAGTAAGGAAGTTACAATAATTAATCAAGGACATACTGCAAAAATAACCCAGGATCTAATATAAAATGAAGGAGACAAAACATTACAAAAAGAGTGCCTTAAAAACTTACCAGGGAGTGTTCACAAATACAAACAAATATGCATAGTTAATAAACAGGAAGTGATCATGCAGATGGCTTCAGTGTGGCATAAAGCACATGAGCCGTATACCTCTTCTGAAGGGAAGTAAAGCTGTCTTCCAGTGCTTACTGCTTTTTCGTTCTACCATTTCCTTTTTCCTCTACTGTATTTTCATTCGCTCTTTTTTATTCTCCCTTACTCTACCAGTTTTCTGAAATTCAGTCCCTTCTCCAGGATGAGACTTTCTTTTCTACCTGGCATACATAGAACTTTAACCAATTGCTTTATAATGTGCAGTGTCTCTCGTTAACCATGAGAGAAACTCTCAACTCTCAAAAACAAGTTTTTGGATTTTTGTGGTTTTGTTTCTTACATTAAAGATTTTAAACACAGAATAATTTAAGTTTGACAGAATGTCACTAGAATGGATTTTTGTCTCTTGTTCATTGTTCTATCCCTGGTCTCTAGAACAGTACAAAGAAAATGCTCAATAAATCTTTGTTGAATAAATGACTAAAAAATTCGACTTACAAGTTTTTTTTTTTTTTAATTTATTTTTTTAAGTAATCTCTATGCCCAACATGGGGCTTGAACTCACAACCCTGAGATCAAGAGTTGCATGATCTTCCAACTAAGCCAGCCAGGTACCCCTAGACTTAGACATTTTTTTTAACTTTTTTTTTTTTAATGTTTATTTCTTTATTTTGAGAGAGAGAGAGAGAGAACATGAGCAGGGGAGGGACAGAGAGAGAGAGGGAGAGAAGAAATCCCAAGCAGGGCTCCACACTCAGCATCGAGCCTGACGTGGTGCTCAATCCCATGACCTTGAGATCATGACCTAAGCTGAAATCAAGGTTTGGATTCTTAACCAACTGAGCCACCCAGACACCTCTGACTTAGAATTTTTTTTAAAAAATGTTTATTTTTGAGAGAGTGAGTGAGCAGCGGAGGGGCAGAGAGAGAAGGAGAGAGAGAATCTGAAGCAGGCGCTGCACTGTCAGTGCAGAGCCCCGTGCGGGACTTGAATTCACGAACCGTGAGATAATGACGTAAGTTGAAATCAAGAGTTGGACACTCAACCAGTCACTGTGCCACCCAGGTGCCCCTAGACTTAGAAATTTTTTAACATCATTTATTTAAAAAAACACTTTAGCGAAGAACTTTATAACCTCTGTGGTAGAGCAGTAATATGAAAACAGCGATTCTCAGGGAGAAAGAAACTTTTTTTGTCCTGCTCCCCCTAATCTCTTCTCCCTATTGCCTTCTGACAATATGAGAATCTCTGCTACTGAGACCTACTGAATGAGACTGAAATTAGTATAAATAGTTCTAAGGAGAGCTGAAGTAAATGGGAGATGTACATTGGTAGGGTGAAAGGGAGAAGGAAATTACAGGTTCAAAGGATGGGAGTAAGATGGATATTTGAACAAAATATCAAGTTAGTTATTAGCTAGAGTGCCAGGGCCAATTGGAAGGACAGAGAAAGTGTTAATGTAGGCAGTAGGGAAAGATCAGATCAATAGAGTGCTTGGGTTTACAGTAGATAGAGGGAGCCATTATGAATTATTGGCGAGAGTGACACGATAGTAAGGTGAACACAATTATTCTACTTAGTTGCTCTTCATAAAATGAATGGATTATAGCTTGTGGTGAAGGAACATTGGGAACAGTGAACAAAGTCAGGAGATTGTTGTAGTAGTTGAAAGCAGCGTAGCTATTTTGGTTGGTGTGTTATCCAGTGATGCCTTTAGCAGATACCCTTCTTTGAAGTCTCATGTCTCCACATTATGACCTAGGGATGGATGGAGGGAGGCAGGGCACTTACAAAGCAATAGGCCAGTTTTCCAGTACCTACTTCTCTGCTTTCTAAATTCATGATCATGAATAAATACTTCAATTTTTCCTGGGTATCAGTCACCTTAATTGTAAAATGAGGAAATAATGACCTGAAAGCAGGATCTAGACCAGATCATTTTTTGGAGTCGTTTTCGTTGCACACTTCTTATATCAATTATAGGGAGTGTGAGCAATAAATACCATGTTTTGTTTCCTAATATTAATTTCTACAACTAGGGTATTTTAAGAATAAAAAAGTCCTGGGCACCTGGGTGGCTCAGTTGGTTGGGCATCCGACTTAAGCTCAGGTCATGATCTTGCTGTTCATGAGTTCGAGCCCCACGTCAGGGTCTGTGCTGATAGCTCAGAGCCTGGAGCCTGCTTCGGATTCTGTGTCTCCCTCTCTCTCTGTCCCTCCCCTGCTCATGCTCTGTCTCCTCTCTCTCTCTCTCTCTGAAAATAGATAAACATTAAAAAAAAAGAATAAAAAAGTCCCATGATACTAAATATTTCAAAAGTTATAATTTCAAGTTTAATATTATGTGTATTGACTGCTATATTTTAAAATATGTATTCCTGTTTTTACATATGATCAGGTGTTTAGTTTTTTTAGTACTATTAGATTGTAATAGCACCCAAGTTGATGGACCAAACCTCCGGTGGGGATACATTTAGAGAAACTTGAAGCATGTAAAAATTCTTTTAAAAGATATATTATTTTATAAGATTATAGGAGCAGTAATACTGATAGTGTTTAATTAATGTTACTAAAAATCATTTCTGCTCTTTTTTGCTACTGAATACACTGTGTATATTTATACCCACACATATCTTTCTGTTTAGGAGGTTTTAATACCAGTAACTTTTTTGGGTTCTTTCTCTTTTTCTCTTTCTTTCTCTTTTTCCATCCTTGTCTCTCTTCCTTTGTTGTTTTCCCTTCTGTTTGAGTTGCCCCCCCTCCCCGCCCCCCAATCCATCTGGAAAGATGAAGAGGCAGCTGCTATGGTAACTATGCATTTCGGTTAATGAATAGCAGACTAACAAGATACATAAAACATATGCAAACTGTGCAGAGTTGGTCGCTGTCAAAGCTGTGGGGGTATGATACTTTCTCTTTTCCTCCTCCCCACCTTCTAAAAAACACCAACTTTTCTCTTGTATTTTGTTTTCTAATTTACCATTCCTAATAATGAAATGCTACCATGAAGGGTTCCTTTTGCTGCTTAGTCTGTGCAGTATTTCACCCTGTGGTGAATTTATGGGAGATGGGTTGAGGTGTAGAGAGAAAAAGAATTGATTATTGGATTAAGAAGTAGATTTCCTTTGGACTCCTACGTAAAAGAACAGAGAAAAAAATTTCACTAGATATTTGTTTCTTTGATCTGTAACCTCCTTTCTTTCCCGTTGCCTTTTGGCCACTAGTGCCCCTTTTGAGGTTCTCTCTGGGGTTAGAACTTGTAAGTAGTATGTTTCTTGAATATGTTTCTATCATAAAGGCCAGCTGCAACTGGAGTATTACATTCAGCCAAGCTTTGAAAATTCCTGTAATCTGTGCCATCCTGTCTCATACTGTCCCATCTCATAGTTGTCCTCTCTCTGCAGTGCTCTATGCCCAGGTCTCTGTGGCTGGGCTGCTCCAGCCTGGCGGACAGCATGCCTTCGCTGCGATGCCTGTATAACCCAGGGACTGGCGCACTCACAGCTTTCCAGGTACTTTCTCTGTCTCTGTGGGTTATTTGCGGGCATTAGTGTGTATGTCTGATTCATTAGCGTGTCCTCGTTCTTTCTTGTGCTCTACTTATGTTCACTTTCTCTCCTTCATATTGCCTGTATTTCACATCACTCAGTACTCTTTTAATTATATTTTTTAATGTAGACCCAGACTATTCCACTCTTAAGACAATTTTATTATCGTGATTGGTTTGCCAGAATTGACATAGCACAACTTGACTGTTTTCATATCTAGTGGAAGTATGATAGTGAATTTTAAAGTAATTTCAACAAATAGTGTTTATTATGTAATGTTTGTTCTGGACCTACATAAAGCCAATTAATGTAATTGATTAATTAATTACAGCCAGTTGCCTGAACACGTTGTGTTTTTCTTATGATTACTAAAAATAAAAAGTGCTCTGTTCAGAGTGTCTCCTGGTTGCTATACAGCTATATATATATTTTGGGGTAAGATCTGTGTTTATTTATTTCTTGACTAACAAGTCTAGTTTCAAGGTGAAAAGGCCTTTCAAAGACCTTTGAGTAGAATATTTAGCTTGAAACAGTCCAGCTTGTCTTGCATGAACTGACAGATTCTAGTTCCCCTTAGCCTTTCTTAGAGAATAGCAGAACAGTTCTAGGATGTGAAAGAAATCTATAGAGAGAATGAAAAATTTGTAGAGAAAAATGTAAGAAAGCACTTGATGCTCGTAGCTTACAAATCTGGGTACTATATATTTTCTTGGTAGAAATGTTATCTATCCACCTCAAGTATTTGCAGTTTGTGTTTAGCATTTGATAGCAATACACAACAAGTTAGCTTTTGGTTTGTTTTTAACCTTTGTAGCTCATACTCTATTTAGAAGAATTTCAAAGGCAAGCTATAAGTAAGCATCAGAATGCGTAGACTATCATCTTAGAAGAGACAAAGTTAAGTGTTCCACATTTTGGACTGTGCTGACAATTGCTAGTCTTTAATGATACAATTTTAGTGGTGATAATGCTAGATATTTGCATTTGTTCTTTGCAAAATAGAATATTAAACTTCCTTTGCTTGTCTTAGGAGATACAATATAGGAAAGTGCATAGGCCTTAAAATTAGTTAGATCAGGGCTTACATACGGTCTTTGTCACTAGTATGGTCTTGAGCAAGCCATTTCACTCTAATCCTTGTGTTCCTCACCTGTAAACAGAGACTGCAGTAAAGGCATGCAGTAAATGGTTGCTGTTTTTATCATCTTCATCTTCATTATTATTAACATTACCGCTATTACTGTTAGAGAATGCTACTTTCCTATCAATTTATTTCAATATTCAATATTGTAAATTTTTTTTTACTACATGTCACATTGATAAAGTTTCTGCTCTCGAGGAACTCCTGGTCTAACCTGTGGGTTTTTAATCTTGTTTGGGTTGTAATAAGTTTAGCCAAACTCCAAACTCCAAGAGAATAGTCACTGCAAGACTGCCCTCATTTCAGACACCAGTTGCAAGTTTAGGAGTCCCCTTGACCACATTCATGCTTGAGAATTCACTAAAAAGGACTCACAGAACTCACTGAAAGCTCTTAGAATTTATTACAGGGTGAGGAGACAGGTTAAAATTAACCAAAAGAAAGAGACACATAGGGCAGATTCAAGAGGGGACCAAATATAGAACTTCCTGTCATCATTTCCATGGATTCAGGAATGGTGTTACTGCCTCCTGGCCACAGTATATGACAGTACAACACAGGGTATTACCAGCTAGGGAAATTTACCCAAGTCTTTGGTGTCTACAGTTTTGTTGGGGCTCAATTACAAACTGCCTGCATGGCTGACTGTTAGTCTCTAGCCCCTCCTGTAGGTCACACTAATGCTTTTTGCCTCAGTTTCCTCTCCGGATAGGAATTGATAAAGTATGGTTCAGAGCCCCCACTCTAAATCCCATTTGTCCAATGGCCAGAAGCCGCAGGAAGAAAGACACTTCTGTTAGGTAAGAAGTTCCAGAAGCCTAGATACCACTTCCCGATAGCCAAAGGAAAAGACCATGCCTATCTTTGGTAAGGTTAATCCTTCACTACACAGGTGTTATGGACTACTTTGAGAATCTAATGAGCACTATTGACCTTGGGAAAAACTGCATATGGCACATAGGCAAAATTTTATTTAATAGTTATGTGTATGATTATTATATTTATATTAAATCACATAACTCTCAAAGTATTAACTCCCAAACTGAAAAATCCTATCACAGAAATATAGAGGAGCTGTAAGAATACATAAAAGAGGAACTTGATCTAACCTGAGGGTGAGGGTAAGGAAAATCAGGTAATGTTTGATTGAGTTAAGGTCTAAAGGGTGAGTAGGAATTAACTACGCAAAAGAGGGGAGGGGAACACATTTCAGGCTTAAGGAAGAGGCAATGCAAAGGCTCTGGGGACGGGTGGAGCTTGTTACTGAAAAAACACTATTATTTTAGAGAATGAGGAGAATGGAGCTAGGAAAGACTGGGAAGTTTGATCATGCAGGATTTGTGGGCCAGGTTAGTCTTGATGCTAAGAAGAGCAGTAAGCTGTCAAAAGGACTTAAACACAAGTTTTGATTTCCATTTAGATGTATTAACTCTAGCTATCACAAGGATGATTTCAGTAATTGAAGAGACAGATTGTGGTCGTTTGGTTTTGGTCTGGAACTCCTTTGCATTCTAAAAAATTATTGAGGCCAGCAGAATGCTTTTGTTTATGTGGGTTATATGTACTGATAGTCACTATTTGAAATTAGAACTGAGAAAAAATTTAAGTATTAACTTATTAAAGTATCTGTAATAAATCCGTTACATGCTAGTGCAAATAATGTCTGGATTAATGAAAGGCAGCTGGATTCTCATTTCTGTTTCTGCAGTTTGTTGTGTTGTGGTGTTTTGGTCGAAATATATGAAGTATCCAGCCTTATACAGATACATAGTTTAAAAAGAGAGGGGTGCTTTAATACCCTTTTCAGTTAGTAATTTCTTTATTATTTTTTTATGTTTTTTTTCTTTGTTTTTGTTTTTGACAGAGAGCGAGCAGGGGAGGGGCAGAGAGAGAGAGAGGGAAACCCAAAATCCGCAGCAGGCTCTAGGCTCTGTGCTGACTCATGGATCATGAGATCATGACCTGAGCTAAAGTCAGACGCTTTAGCAACTGAGCCACCTAGGCACCCCAGTTAGTTGTAATTTCTTAAAGATGAGTTACAGTATAGAATCTGAAACGTACACACTTTTTGTGTTCTGTTACATTAAGATGCATTGGTCTCAATCTTTTCAACAAATCATGCTGGAACAATTGGACATCTATGTGCAAAATAATGAACCTCGACTGTTACATTGCACCATATATAAAAATTAACTCAAATTGGATCATAGACCTATATATAAGCTAAACTTACAAAACTAATAGGAAAAAATGAGGGAGAAAAAAGTCATTGTGACTTTGGGTTGGGCAAACACAGTGAGATACTACTGCATTATTACCACATGCCTCTTCTCACCCTGGATGTAGGGATTGGGAATTCAGTAGACCCTAGGTTTAGACCCACATCCTAGTTTAATATGAGAGATGTTGGGCTAGAAAATTCCTTGAAAGCAGAAGCAATCTTTTGTATTTATCAGTTGACCTTCACAGTGTTCTGTAGAGTGATTTTTAGTATTTGGGGGGATGATTTGAACTATATTAGACAGTGTTAAATAACATGCGATTAAAAATCGTGTAAGTTAGGGGCACCTGGGTGGCTCAGTCGGTTAAGCCTCCAACTTCAGCTCAGGTCATGATCTCACAGTTCATGAATTCGAGCCCCCTGTTGGGCTATGTGCTGACAGCTCAGAGCCTGAAGCCAGCTTCAGATTCTGTGTCTTCCTTTCTCTCTGCCCATCCCCTATTCATTCATTCTCCCTTTCCCTCCCTCTCTCTGTCTCAAAAAATAAATAAACATTAAAAAAAAATTTTTTTAAAGCATATAAGTTAAAGTCATCTGACTTGCACACCAAGATACCAAAAAAATTCAAATTTTCATTTTATCTAAAGCAGTCTTGAATCTCAGGTCAGGTAGGAAAGAATTCTGCAATTTACTGTCACTCTCAGGACTTTCTCTATTTGGTCTTTTTCTTTTTTGTTTTTTAAGATTTTATTTTTTAAGTAATCTCTACCCCCAACATGGAGCTGGAACTCACAACCCTGAGATGAAAACTCACATGTTATACTGACTGAGCCAGCCAGGCGTCCCTTTCTGTTAGCTCTTAATTAAAAATCAACAAATATCTATTTAAAAAATATTTTTAGTCTCCTTGTAAGTTACCACTTCTAGAATATAATTGGAGGGATGTTGATTTAGTGATTTTGCTGGAAAAATCAGGAATAAATTGGGTGTATGGACCTTGAAGTATATTGCAGGAGTGAAATTGTGTGGCACAGGCAGAAAAGAGGTGCTTAAGACACATTTTAGAAAAGCAGGCCAAAGGCTATTTTGTAGTGTTGTGGTTATGAGCTTGGGCCTTGGTGCCAGACTGCTTGAGACTTGTGCTTGGCTCTGTCTGTGTGTGACCTTGGGCAAGTGCTTGACCTCTCTATACCTCAGTTTTTTAAATCTGTAAAATGGGGATAATAATAGTACTTATCTTATACAGTTGTTAACATTAAATGAGTTATGTTAAGTCCTTAGAACAGTGTCTGGCACATGAATGAGTTTTATATTATTGGGAAAATGTACAGAAGAATAGGTTTGGAGACTTTCAGTAAACACTGTTTTCACCTTGTTACAAAGCAATATACTGTTCAATAAATTCTTATTTTTTTTTCATTCCTTATGCCCAATTTTGTATCATAGGGAGCCTACTCTTGGTTCAGGTATTGATGAAAAAATTTTGCTTTTCTCAATATTACTGTAGGTGTGAATGTTTATTTTTCTTATTATGTCTTACATAGCAAAAATGGAAGACATGAGCTTATATACCAGTTTTATTCTATTAATTCAATAATTCTA